ATGTGTCAGATGATCAGGATAGCTCAGGGAATAAATTATTTTAAAGGACAGTGTGGTCATCAGAATCAGGTCAGGTAATTGAGTTCCAAGACTATCCATTGAATTTATCAACATGGGAGACACTGGTGATCTTCACGAAAGGTATTTTGGTGGATTGTTGAGGGCATAGATATATTGTAATGGCTTTAAAAGGAGTACAGGATGGAACAATGATTATAGACAACTCTGTAAGAAATTTGGTTGTGAATGGGGAGAAAAGAAATAGGGATATATGAGGTTCGAGAATTTCTTTTACCTCGGAGAGACTTCACTAACTGTAAATGTACATAGAAATTATCCAGCCCTAGCCAGTTTGGCTCAGTGGATAGAGCGTCGGCCTGTGGACTGAGGGGTCCCGGGTTCGATTCCGGCCAAGGGCACATGCCTACGTTGCAGGCTCGATCCCCAGTCGGGGATATGCAGGAGGCAGCCAATCAATGATTCTCTCTCATCATTGATGTTTCTCTCTCTCTCTCTCTCTCCCTCTTCCTTCCTCTCTTAAATCAATAAAGAAATATATATATATATAAAAAAATCTTTATTAAAAAAAAAAATTATCCAAATGATTTTGGTAAAGGTGAAGACTTTGATCTAGGTGCCAAAATCATCAACAAATGAAAGATATGGCAGGGATGCCAGCTAACATGAGCCAGGAAGGAGAAAGATGGGGTGATGGAGCTGAATGGCATGGGCTTCAAAGGAAAAGAGTTTTATAGGAGAGTAAGAGGCTACTAAGTTGGACGAAGCAAAGTGAACACCTGTTCCATATTTAACCACGAGGTATGGAATGTGAGTGGTAAAAGGGTAACCAATGCTCGCTTCAGCAGCACATATGCTAAGATTGGAATGATACATAGAATGGCCCCTGCACAAAGATGACATGCAAATTTGTGAAGCTTTCCATATTTTTCTCACTTATATGTGGAATCTAATGAACAAAATACAGTAGGTCCTCGGGTAACGTCGGAGATCTGTTCCTACGGCGGGACATAACGCGATTTTCACCGTAAGTGGGAACCCACCGACATAAGCACCTATGTCACTCACATGGAGTACATACACAGCAGTAATGAAGTGAAACAGTAAAAAACATTTAAAAGAAAGATAACAATTCCTGACCTTTACTTGTGGTAAATAATAAAAAACATAAAACACATATGTACATACGTCGAAATGATGGAACTTTTTTTTTTAATAAATAAATCGGAGATGGCGAGGTAACCACGATACAACGTACGTCAAGTCCGACATAACCCGAGACTGTCTATAAAGTGAAGAACAAAATAAATCCAAAGACATTGAAACATGCAACAGATTAACATATTTCAGAGGGAAGGGGGCAGGGGGAGAGATTAACCAAAGAACTTATATGCATATATGCATAACCAATGGACACAGACAATAGTGGGGTAAAGGCCTGGGGAGGGACAGGAACAGGATGAAGGGGGTCAATGGGGGAACAAAGGAGGGCATCTGTAACGTGTTCAATAATTAATAAATAAAATAAATAAAAATTTAAAATAAAATAAAAAATAAATGAGTCCAGAATGTGTTTTTTTTTTAAAAAAAAAGTAAATAGCTAAATAACATCACCTTGATATTGCTACAAGGAATGCCCTGTCCTCGGGGAAAAGCCTGTGTTTAATTAAGGCAAGAGGGTCTTGAGAAAACTTAAAATAATTTAAGATATAAAAGCATCTGTCTATTAGACTGAGAGATCCTTGAAATAGTTTAGACTCATGCTTTTCCAATTTTAGTGTGCATCAGAATCACCTGGAAGGCTGGATCACAGGTAGCTGTATTCCATCCTCAGAGTTTCTGATTTAGAAGATCTCAGGTAAGCTCAAGAATGTGCGTTTTTAACAAGTTCCCAGGGGCTGACACTGCTCGTCTGTAAACCATACTTTCAAAACCACTGGGATAGTCGGTGTTGTGATAACAACAAACCCTGAAATCCCCACAGGTCAATGACAGAGAAGTTTATTTTCACTTATTCAAAGTCTAAGTTGCTCTCTAGGGCATTGTCTTCTAAGCAGAAGCCCAGGAATGCAGGTCGTATGTGCCTTGTTTTGATGCATCTGGAACATGTGGCTTCCAGGGTCACCCAGCAAGGGAGGGGAGACCTAGTGAGTTATGTGAAATGCTTTCCCTGGGTCAGGTCTGGGATGGCTTACATCATCTCTGCTCAGATCTCACTAATCAGGACTTAGTCACATGGTCTAAGCATAATAGCAAGGGAGTCTGGGAAATGTAAAGTAGAACATGGATGTTTGTGAGCATTAACAGCTCTCCGTCAGAGCATCTTCTGTATCTGATCTCAGCAGAGAGAAAACTGCTCGTCAAGATCAGCAGCTCAACATATGTTGATATGTTCAATAAACTGAAAAGAATTTAGTCGTTATTGACTAAAAACCCAGATTTTCGTTTTTCTTTAAACAAACAATGCACCCTTTACAACTAACCGTTATTATCTACATACATCCTCCAACACACACAGAGCATGGTCTTCTCTGAATGACCTTTCAGACCTTGCCAGGTTCAACTGTACATTGCTACACCTGAGACATTCATAGATTGAAGAGATATGAACATGCTGAGATGGAAAAGAAAATTATCCTGATTAAAAAACAAGGCTGTATCATATTCACTCTTCTTTGCTGTGAATTCAGACATTTGAAATAGATTATTTAGTTCAACAAGCAGCCCCATTTTTGAGAAGGTTATGCCCGTGGGATGTTCCATTTGCCGTCTTACCTTCAAGGCCTTTATTATATCTGAGGGCTGGTGATGGCCAAGTGACAGGAGAGCTGACAGTTCTATTAGCTGTAGTATCAGGAGAGGTCAATCAACACTTCTCACATCTCTAGGTAATGAGCTGAGTTTCCAAAGGCAACCCAGATTCCAGCAGGTTGAGCTGCAGAATCTTGTTACATGATGAAATGGGCTCTCAAGGGCTGCTTTTACCTCTAGGATCCTCAGTCACCACTGGATATGGAAAGTGTTAGTGCTGTTTCAAACTTGCTTCCTGCCAGCCTTCAGTGATACCTTGAGAAGAATTCAGAGATACAAACTGAGAGAAAGAGAGCAATTTTCTGGGCTCCAAAGTGCCAGGAGAGCAATCTTCATCCTCCATCACTTGTGGTCTTACAATAAGGAAAAGACCCTGTGGTGAGCACCTGGCCTTTTGGTTCCAATCTGTGAGGATAAACGAGGTTGTGTTTTAATAATATGCATCCATTTGAAGCACACATCTCACAATGCTAAAGAATTCCTTTAACAAGCACACCTATTTGGCAGGGAATGAAAAAATTTTACAAAAACCATAAAAGCAGTTCCAATGAGGAATGAAGAATGTAATTGCTACATTGGCAGTGTTTCCAATTAAAAAAATAGACTGGTGTTTTGTTAGATTTATAATCCTTACAGCATTTCATAGATAGAAAGCATATTAGAACAGGTAGTATCCAGCTACTGCTTTGAAACTTGGCACAGTCCAAATCTTATTTATCTCCAACTTTCGTGACAGTAATCAAAGGAATAAAAAGTTAGTTTCTTAATTCTTTGACCTTGGTGAGATGCCTTTCAAAAGGAAGTTGAGACATTTGTAGCAACTGTCACTGAGCTCACCTTTCAGGTGTAAAATATACTGAGATTGGCACAAACATGATCTGTATTCAGATCCCTACACATTCCAGGAAATGATTGGCTAAATCATACTCTATTTGTAAAATGCCAGTGTGGCCAAGGAGCTCCTCTGCAGAGGGGTTTCAGGGATGATGTCTTACTTTTTGACTTGCTGCTGTAGAGATCAGGAAACACCACTGTCCAAAGTCTCCACCAGCACACAGCACTCCATAGGTCAGTGTTCATGAAGGTGCTGTTATACTTTAAAGACACGAAAATGATATTGCTCTGGAATCAATTCTGCACTCAATCAATAAATATTTATTGAGGGCCTGTTAAGTCCAATGAAAATAATTCTACATAATTTTTACTGAGTATACAGAAAAGTGAAAGCATAAGCAGAAGAATCAGGATTCATGTTTCTGTATATAGATAGTGAGAGCAATTCTAAGAGAGAACTGTATGTCAAATTGCATTGTAACTTGTTCAGGGACTATGTGGTGTAATAAAAAAGGGTTTTATGGATTTTTAATTAGTGAGACTTGGGTTTCTTTACCACCCCTTCATTTTCTATATATAGGAACATGAGAAAGTTATTTTAGGCTCAATGAGCCTTAGTTTACTCAGCTGTAAAAGAAACAATATTATTTATCTCTTAGAGTTACCATGAGAATTAAATGAGATATATATGAAAAAGCCAAGTATGTAGTAGATTTTCAATAAATGGCAGCCATAATTAGCTATAATAATTATTATTCAGCTTTCTGTGAAGAGGTGACTGTATTAAATGTTTATAAGAAAAATAATGTTAAAAAAATAAAATAAAATAATGTTTAAATAAAAAGTGTTATAAATTGAATGTTTGTGTCCCCCCCAGAATTCATATGTTAATACCTCACCAATGTGATAATGGTGTTTAAGGTCAGGCCTTTGGGAGGTGATTAGGTCATGAGAGTGAAGCCCTGTGAATAAGATTAATGCCCTGATAAATGAGATTCCTGAGAATTCCTCACCCCTTAGGATACAATGGGAAGATGGCCCTTTTGAAAGAGGACATGGGCCCTCACCAGACACTGAATCTGCTGATGCCTTGATCTTGAACTTCCCAGCCTCCAGATCCCTGAGAAATAAATTTCTGTTGTTTATGAGCTCATCAGTGGGATTCTGTTATAGCAGCCTGAATGGATGAAGACTAAACACTTTCTTTGTAAAGGTAAAAAAAGGATTGTAATGCATGATAATGTGTATGTATAACTCTAATATCAAATATGCATTAGCTTGTAAATGCCTGCTAACCAAAGGAGCTGGTTTATATTTTAAAATATAAAGGAGGTTGGGGTGGCCAGCGGCGACTGCGGCTCTCTCCTGGCGGCCGCGGCGCGACAGCGGAGCACGGGCGGCGGTGGCCGGAGTCATGGCAGGACAGGCCTTTCGGAAGTTCCTCCCCCTCTTCGACCGCGTGCTGGTGGAGAGGAGCGCCGCGGAGACCGTCACCAAGGGGGGCATCATGCTGCCAGAGAAGGCCCAGGGCAAGGTGCTGCAGGCCACCGTCGTCGCCGTGGGGTCCGGCTCCAAGGGAAAGGGTGGAGAGGTTCAACCTGTTAGTGTGAAAGTTGGAGATAAAGTTCTTCTTCCAGAATATGGAGGCACCAAAGTAGTTATAGACGACAAGGACTATTTCTTATTTAGAGATGGTGACATTCTTGGAAAGTATGTAGACTGAAATAAATCACTATTGAAATGGCATCATGTGAAGCTTCCCATTCCATTGAAGTTCTGAAATCTTTCATCATGTAAATAATTTCCGTGTCTCTTTTATAATAAACTAATGATATCCAAAAAAAATAAATAAATAAAAAATAAAATAAAATATAAAGGAGGTTGGAAAATAAGAGGAAGTGAATTCTAACTTGCTATCTGATTATACTTTCTATTGTGTATTTCGATTTTTAAATTTCCATTGACCTTTTTTCTTAATTAAATCTTTATTGTTCAGATTATTACATTTGTTCCTCTTTTTTCCCCCCATAACGCCCCTCCTCCCAGTTCCCGCCCCACCCTCCGCCCTCACTCCCCACCCACTGTCCTCATCCATAGGTGCACAATTTTTGTCCAGTCTCTTCCCGCATCTCCCACACCCCTTTCCCCCCCAAGAATAGTCAGTCCATTCCCTTTCTATGTCCCTGATTCTATTATGATCACCAGATTATTTATTCACTTGATTCTTAGATTCACTTGTTGATAGATGCATGTTTGTTGTTCATAATTTGTATCTTTACCTTTTTCTTCTTCTTCCTCTTCTTAACGGATACCTTTCAGCATTTCATATAATCCTGGTTTGGTGGTGATGAACTCCTTTAGCTTTTCCTTATCTGTGAAGCTCTTTATCTGACCTTCAGTCTGAATGATAGCTTTGCTGGATAAAGTAATCTTGGTTGTAGGTTCTTGGTATTCATCACTTTGAATATTTCTTGCCATTCCCTTCTGGCCTGCAAAGTTTCTGTTGAGAAATCAGCTGACAGTCGTATGGGTTTTCCCTTGTAGGTAACTGAGTTTCTTTCTCTTGCTGCTTTTAAGATTCTCTCTTTGTCTTTTGCTCTTGGTATTTTAATTATGATGTGTCTTGGTGTGGTCCTCTTTGGATTCCTTTTGTTTGGGGTTCTCTGCGCTTCCTGGACCTGTAAGTCTATTTCTTTCACCAGGTGGGGAAAGTTTTCTGTCATTATTTCTTCAAATAGGTTTTCAATATCTTGCTCTCTCTCATCTTCTGGCACCCCTATAATTCTGATGTTGGTACGCTTGAAGCTGTCCCAGAGGCTCCTTACACTATCTTCGTATTTTCGTATTCTTTTTTCATTTTGCTTTTCTGGTTGGGTGTTTTTTGCTTCTTCGCATTTCAAATCTTTGCCTTGATTCTTGCACTCCTCTGGTCTGCTGTTGGGAGTCTGTATAGTATTCGTTATTTCAGTCCGTGTATGCTTAATATCTAGTTGGTTCTTTATCATAACATCGAGGGTCTCATTAGATTTCTTGAGGATCTCACTACATTTATCGGCGGCTTCTAGACAGTTCTTAAGAGACCTTAAAAGTGTGGTTCTGAACTCAATATCCTCCATTGACAGTTTTGTCCTGTTTCTTTGTCTCCGCATTTTTTATGCTTTCTTGGTGCACCCCCTAGTGGTCTTTGTGCGCAGTCTTGTTGTAGTTAAGCCTTGGTTGTTGTCGGCAATACCGGGGGTGATTTGACCTCCAGGCTAACTGGCTATGAGAGGCCGCTATGTCTGCAGTGGGAGAGCTTCTGTGCTGGATCTCTAGGGCGGTGCTAATCTAGCGTTTGCCTGAGGCTATCCGGCAAATGGCTCTGCGCAGGGCTTGGGCGGGGCGGTTCCCCGGGGATCTACAGGGTGGGCCGGAGCGAGCAGTTATGGCTGCTCTCAGTTCCGTCCCAAGGGGCTCTGCCTCACTGAGTCCCAGCAACCGCTGCAAACCTCGGAGAGAAAGCTGCCTTCGAGTTCCGACCGAAGCCAGACAGTCCCGCTTCTCCCGTTTGAGTCTGGGTCCCTAGAGACTCGCTCCGATCTGGAGCTCAGAGTCTGAAACTCCCTCCCGATTGAAAACAACAACCGCGCCCTCCGCCGCCAGCCCGCTCCGCGCGCACTCCGCACCTGAGTATTTCACTTCAGCACTGCGCCTCCTCTGAGTCTGGGTATGATATTCTCTTTCCTCCTAGTTGTAGAATTTCCACTCAGCCAGCCTTCCTGTGGTTCTGGATGATGACCGTTCCGTCGTTTAGTTGTTTTTTGAAGTGGTTGTTCAAGGAAGCAATCTCCGGCGTTAACCTATGCTGCCATCTTGGTTTCCATCTTCATCCATTGACCTTTAAACTAAACTGTTTATGTGTCACAGAATATATTCTGACACGTCCTTAGGCAATGTAAAAGAGCCAGTCTAACATCAGATATCAACTACAGCATACACATTGAAGTGTTTCAAACACTGTTTAAGAGAAAGATGATTCATAAATCAGAATCCAAATAAGTGAAAAGTTATTTTAAATCCTGCTTATTTTTAATTAGTTCATATAACATCATTTATCATAAACTGTGAGACGTGTTCATAAATATTAGAATTTCAAGGTCACACTTATAGGTAATATACCTGCTAGGTTTTCTCTAACTGTCCAGTTGTCCAAAAGTAGGTCATTTTTCACATGGACTAGACACACATTTTATACTTCTAAAAAAAAAAAATCATTTCTAGGAGGTCATGGTCACAGCTCCCAAAAGAAAAACTTTAAAAGACATGTAGTGTAACAAAATTAATATGTCTTCTTCCAATCTGAAGTTCCTGAATTTCATCTTCCATACTGTTCAACAGAGTTAAATGCTAGAAGTCAGGAACAAAACTTAAATGTCCTGTGCCATCTCTGGCAAGAATGTACATTAAAAAGCTGTCAAGCCCTAGCCGGTTTTGCTCAGTGGATAGAGCACTGGCCTGTGGATTGAAGGGTCCCAGGTTTGATTCCAGTCAAGGGCATGTACCTCAGTTGCAGGCTCGATCCCCAGCCCTGGTTGGGCTAAGGGTTCATGTGGGAGGCAACAAATCGATGTTTCTCTCTCTGTCTCTCCCGCTCCATTCCACTCTCTCTAAAAAATCAATGAAAAAATATCCTGGAGTGAGGATTAACAACAACAACAACAACAAAGGCTATCAAGCTATTTAGTTTTAAAAATGAAGGTAGACATCCTGGTGGTCACATGTTTGCACCGCTGATGCCTCTCTGAGCATATCCAGAGAGGATATGAATTAACAAAATTGAGCCAGGCAAGGAAAGAAAAGGACAAAAGGAAGTGAGGAGCATAATGAAGAAAAAGTAGAAACAGAACAGTTTCCAAATCAAGAATAGAAGTAAAGTTATTTTCCACTACCTCAAATACAAATAGAATTTTGTAAATCAGAAATATTTTCTCAGTAAGATGTGGTAAATAAACGAAAAGAGGCATCTCTTCGGAATCAAGTGTTTTCTAACTTAGATGCAATTGCTCTTGTGTGGAAAGAGGCACTCTAAGCCAATGTTTTCAAATTGAATTCTAAATATAGATTACATTTTACACTTTTGTTTTAGGAGTGGCCACACAAGCCTGCTAGACATTTGGCTCTCCTATCAAATCCAAGCAGTGGATTCTGATAGTAACAAGGTGACATCTCTGATGAATTGATTTGAGACATGAGAGCAGGATTTGGGAAACTAATTGGATTTCTTATCTAATTGGCCCTGTTGGAAAAAAATGAGATTCATTTTTTTCCTGGAAGTAAATTCTAGAACTAGGACTCATCCATGTTAATGTCTATGTAGATATCTGATTGTATTTGTGCCTTTGTACACATTACTATATATATTCTCCCATAAAAATACTAAAATGAATAACCACACAGAAAAGATTAGTGTTAATATGTTCAGATCAGAAATAGAAGGATAAATAGAGGATGGTATTTATACTGTTACAGGACATCATAAGACAGATGAACTTAGACATACTGTTGTCAAACTCGATCTGAATGCCACTCCTCACTGAAAGGAACCAGGGCCCACTGGTAAATGGTTAATTCCAGGGTTGGAACAGGGAAAATATAAGATGAGCCTAGACTATCCTGAGCCAAAAGAGTGAATATGACAGAGTGACTAACACATTTTAAAAGGACCAAGAAGTCAGATTTTTTAAAAATATTTTTTAAATTATGAATTATAGTTGGCATACATATTATATTAGTTTCAGGTCTACAACATAGTGACTAGACAGTTATGTAACTTATGATGTGATCACACCAATATATCCCCACAAAATATTTGATAATTTCAAGAGAAACAAGAATAAGACTATGGGGATCTCTTGATTTAAGATCTTAAATCAAGGGGCAAAAGTGAGCATCGACAACGATGGGACAAATCAGCATGGGCACTACCTGATAGGATGCATTGAGAAGAAGCCAGTAACACTTCTTGATATTCCTACTGAAGATGTATAATCTGAATCAAATCATGAGGAAATACTAGACAACCCAAATTTAGGGACATTCTACAAAAAAATAATGACCTGTAACTTCAAAAGTATCAAGGCCAGGAGAGCCAAGGAAAAACTGAGGAAGTGTTCCAGACAGAATGAGACTAAAGAGACCTGATAAACTAAATGCAGCCCATGATTCTGAACTGGATTCTTTTGCTATAAAGGACATTATTGGGTCATTTGAGACCTAATGAGTAGATAGCGGTACTTTATTCATGTTAATTTCTTAACTTTGATGGTTGTTATGAGCTGAATTTTGTCCTTCCTCGAATTTATATGTTGAAGTTCTAGTACCTCAGACAGTGACTGTGCTTAGAAATAGGGCCTTTAAAGAGGTGATTAAGTTAAAATGGGGTTGTTGGAGTGGGCTCTAATCCAATATGACTGATGTCTTTATAAAAAGAGATTTTGACACTCAGAGAGACACTGGGGATGAATGTGTGGAGAGGAAGGCCATGTGAGGATAGAGAGAGAAGGTTGCCGTCTGCCAGCCAAGGAGAGAAGCCTCAAAAGAAACCAAACCCGCCAATACCTTGATCTTAGACTTCTGCCTTGAGAACTGTGAGAAAAATAAACTTCTGTTTTTTAAGCAGCTCAGATTGTGGTATTTTGTTATGGCAACCCTAGCAAACTAACACAATGGTTATGTTATGGTTATGTAGGAAATTGTCCTTGTTTGTA